CTAGGGACACCATGACTAGCTGATCACAATGATCCCTGTTGGCCTGGGAATCTACAAATCACCTGTAAAGAACATTTAAATGACAGCAGAGAGAAGGGCTGGGCTGCAAGCAGGAACTCCTCTCGGTTGAAGGAAGATCGCTGCATCAAAACTTCTTGTTCACCCAGAAATGTGACTACACAGCTGGTCATCACATGATTGCCAAAAACTTGGGGGGAGGGGGAGAAAATCACCAGTGATGAACCTACACTGAATATCCAGCCACACCAAATTCAAGACCTAGCTAAAGATGGAGCCAGGCGGCGTTCAATCCACAAGGAGGCTGTGTCCCCCTTTAGGATTTGCCTCGGTGATCGGAGCAAAGGGCTGAAAACCGGACATCTCTTAAGGCACAAAGAATTGTGCCTAACACAGGGTTCAGGTTACACTTCGTCTCCAGGCGCTGGCTTATATCCATACCACAACAAAAGCCATTTTGTAAATACATTTTTCCTTATCCATGCTTTCCACAAAACCTCTGATTATTAATACAGAAAGAATTTGTCAAAGTCTAATGTATTTGTGCGTCCTGTGTCGTCGATTCCAAGGCCAGCAGGGACCACTGTGATCCTCTAGTCTGGCCTCCTGCATTGTCGCACAGGCCAGAAAACCTCCCTCAGGGAGCCCTGCATCAAGTCTGAGCTACAGCGTGTTATTTATTAAATTGTGGTGCCACCCGAACACCTGAAGTGTTTTCCGAACGCAACGACAGACAGACCCTGCCCCAAAGAGGAAAGCATAATCTGTTCACGTAATGTACTCGATTAACTCAGCTTGGACAAGGAAGCAAGAACAGTCAGTTTCCCTTGTGGGCACTCATGCGATAACACGCTGTTGCAATGTTTAGTTTGGAGGGGGAAACAGCAGAGGAATGTTTGAATCCCCACAAAATAGTTTTTATTGCAACTTTTAAAACTTCATGAGACTATTTCTAGCAAATTTAGGTCAATCTGTACAAACCTATAGTTTGGGCCCAAATCCACGAGGCAATGTCCCTCTAAATATATAGCACGTGCCTGTTTATAGATTTCTCTCACACACACACAGAGCCAGAGTAGCTGCCCAGAGTGCTGTTATTGCAGTTGCAATGTGTTTCCGCTATACCCCCGTTTTCACACGTTTTCATTCTGGAAGCACTCACGCTCGTGGGATTCCATTTTTGATGCTTAGTTTTTTTTGGAAAGTTTGAACAAAATCCCTTTGGCTGGTTTTCAGTTATAGGCGAGAATAGAAGAGCATTTGTTTTTACAATGGGGAAAAGGAGGAGGGATTAGCGGTCTCTGGGGAGGTTCTTCTGCCTGGCAGAATGGAGAAACAAGGTGGGTGAGGTGATCTCTTTTATTGGACCAACTTCTGTTGGTGAGAGAGACAAGCTTTCGAGCTTACACAGAGTCTTCTTCAGGCAGAATCCAGTTATTTTAATCATTCAGACAATATGTTAAGAGGCCCAGGACAAGTACTATGGGTACCCGATCCTGCTGCCACTGAATTACCATTGCCTTCGGTGGGGCAGGATCAAACTCTGGATCTTGCTGGGTGATGAGAACTGCAGTTACCTAGTGCGAAACTGCTGTCTGTGGGAAGGAGGGTAGGGCGTACGAGGAGTGTAACAACAGAGCGTGTGTATCATCCATAGATCTCAATGTGTTTTACTAGTATGGGTAAGTTTTATCCCTACAGGGGAAACCGAGGCACACAGAAGGAAAATGACGTGCCAAAATCACACACGGAGTTAACAGAAGAGCTGGAATAGAACCCAGTCCATTTTAGCCAGTAGACCATGTAACCTCAGAACAGCCCAAATGTGAAAGGAACGTAATTTAGAAGCATAGCGTTAGAAGGGACCATAAGGGTCATCTAATCTAATCCCCTACCAAGAGACAGGATTTGTTGGGTCTAAACCATCCAAGATAGATGGATCCAGCCTCCTTTTGAAAAACCTCTAGTGAAGGAACTTCCACAACCTGACGAGGCGTCTGTTCCATTGTCCTACTGGTCTTACAGTGAGGAAGTTTTTCCTGAGATTTAACCTAAATCGGCTCTGCTGTAGTCTGAACCCGTTGCCTCTTGTCCTGCCCTCTGTGGCAAAAGAGAACAACTTTTCTCCATCTTTTTGGGGGCAGCCTTTCAAGTATCTGAAGACTGCTATCATATCCCCCCCTTACTCCTCTCTTTCCAAACAATACATATCCAGTTAGAATCATAGAAGATTAGGGTTGGAAGGGACCTCAGGAGATCATTTAGTCCAATCCCCTGCTCAAAGCAGGACCAACCCCAACTAAATCATCCCAGCCAGGGCTTTGTCAAGCCTGACCTTAAAAACCTCTAAGGAAGGAGATTCCACCACCTCCCTAGGTAACCCATTCCAGTGCTTCACCACCCTCCTAGTGAAATAGTGTTTCCTAATATCCAACCTACACCTCCTGCACTGCAACTTGAGACCATTGCTCCTTGTTCTGTCATCTGCCACCACTGAGAACAGTCGAACTCCATTCTCTTTGGAAGCCCCCTTCAGGTAGGTGAAGGCTGCTATCAAATCCCCCCTCACTTTTCTCTTCTGCAAACTAAACAATCCCAGTTCCCTCAGCCTCTCCTCATAAGTCATGTGCCCCAAGCCTCCTAATCATTTTTGTTGCCCTCCGCTGGACCCTCTCCAATTTGTCCACATCCTTTCTGTAGTGGGGGGCCCAAAACTGGACGCGATACTCCAGATGTGGCCTCACCAGTGCAGAATAGAGGGAAATAATCACATCCCTCTGCTGGCAATGCTCCTACTAAGGCAGCCCAAAATGCCATTAGCCTTCTTGGCAACAAGGGCACACTGCTGACTCATATCCAGCTTCTCATCCACTGTAATCCCCAGGTCCTTTTCTGCAGAACTGCCGCTTAGCCAGTCGGTCCCCAGCCTGTAGCAGTGCCTGGGATTCTTCCGTCCTACGTGCAGGACTCTGCACTTGTCCTTGTTGAACCTCATCAGATTTCTTTTGGCCCAACCCTCCAATTTGTCTAGGTCAATCTGGACCCTATTCCTACACTCCAGTGTATCTACCTCCCCCCCATTCCTTCAGCCTTTGCTCCTATGGCTGCATTCCATCACTTCGATCATCTTTGTCCTTCACCTCTGGATCCTTTCGTGTTTCTCTACATCCTTTCATACATTGGTGACCAAAATTGGACACAGTGCTCCAGCTGAGTCCTAACCAGTGCTGAGTAGAGCGGTACAATCACCTCCCGTGACTTGCATGCGATGCCTCTGTTAATGCAACCCAAAATTGCATTTGCTTTTTTTTGCAGCAGCATCACATTGCTGACTCCTGTTGAGGTTGTGATCCACCACAACTCCCAGATCCTTCTCAACAGTGCTGCTGCCAAGCCAGTTATCCCCCAGTCTGTATTTGTGCATTTGGTTTTTTCTTCCCTAAGGGTAGCAGCTAACCTTTGTCTTTGGGGAATTTCATTTTGTTGTCTATTGGCCAGTTTTCCAATTTATCAAGATCCCTCCAAAGTATTGGCAACCCTCCCTAGCTTTGTCTCATCTGCAAACTTGATCAGTAAGCTCTCTATTCCTACATCCAGGTCATTAATAAAGACGTTCAACAACACTGGAGCCAGAACAGATCCCCATTTGAGACCTCCCCCCATTCCGACATCATTCCATTAATAGGTTCTCTTTGTTTTCGGTTATTTAATCAATTCTGTATCCACTTAATGGTAGTTCTGTTGAGCCCACATTTCTCCAGCTTACTTATCAGAATGTCATATGGGATTCTGTCAAAAGCCTTGCTGGTGTCCAGGTATATTATGTCCACCGCATTTCCCCCATCCACCAAATTAGTTACCCTGTCAAAGAAGGAAATCAAGCTGGTTTGGCATGATTTGTTCTTAGTAAATCCATGCTGGCTGCTAGTGATCATCCCTCCATCCTCCAGGTATTCACAAATTGTGTGTTTATACATTGCTCTAGTCGTTTTCAAGGTATCAAAGTCAGGCTGACTGGTTTATAGTTCCCGGGCTCCTTCTTTTTAAAGATGGACACCATATTAGCCCTTCTCCAGTCTTCTAGGACTTCTCCGATCATCCATGAGTTTGGCAATATTATTTGCCAGTGGCAATAATATTTCATTTATATATATCTATCAGGGGAAATCTTTGGAGTATATACTAGTGCAAATTCTTAATTCTTTGAGTTAAATACGAGAGAGAGAACACAACAAATCTCTTCCTTTTATAATCCAAGGACCTCATGACTCAGAGCCCCATGTAATTTGCATGCTGTCATTATACACATTTGGGAAGAGGTGGATATGCACTAAGAGAATAATGGCCCTTAGTGGGGACAGTAATCAGATAACAAGAACACACACTCATATCCTGGAAAGAGAATCTTAAAAAAAAAAAAGTTTTTAAAAATTGTCTTATCACAAGGTTAGGGGGTTCTGGTGACATCAACCCACAGCAGTGAAGCTCGTGGGATAGGACATCAGATCCCTTGAATCACACAGCAGCACAGCGTTATTTATTTCCTTCCATTCGGAACATGCTCTATTTAACCTTCCACACCAAACCGCTGTACTGGACCAGTGTCAACACTCTAACACGTCCCATTCACTGTGCTCTGGAGAGGGCCCCAGTACCTTTGATGGCATAAAGGAACCACAGAATTAAAGAGGTTATCTGCTGTGATTGTCTATTGGATAAAACAAAAGTTTTGCTACAAAAGAGTTTAACAATGTTTGTACAGCGCTTAGCACAAAAGAGTCCTGGCCCAGGACTGGGGCTCCAAGACACTATAATAAAATTATTATTATTATTATTATTATTAGAATCAACAGCAAGGAGTTGCAGTGATGGTTTATGTTCAACCTGCTCTACGAGGCGCTAACCCTGACCCCATGCAAAAGGTAAACCTGTTTCCCGGTTAGAGAGAAACTCTTGGAGCACCGTGCGTCCTTCGCGTTTACCTCTGTACAGAAGGGAGTAAGCTGAGGGTGCACCACCGGCTGCACATACATGTGAAAGGTGGATTCAATCTCCATCGTCCTGCCATTTAGCTTCAGAATGGGGAACTCAATGATTTCCTGAAATAAGGCACAAAAGAAAACAAGTTGTTATAAAAAGACGACAGCTGGGAAGACCCAAACCAAGCTCTTTGGGGCAGGGACCATCTTTTTGTTCTGTATTTGGACAGCACCTAGCGCAGTGGAGTCCTGGTCCAGACTGGGCGTCCTAGGCCCCATGGTAATACAAACAATACATTAGAGGAAGACGGCACCTCCCCATTTTAAGAAGGGGCACACAGCTCTAAAAAGGAAAAAACTAGGCCCAACGTGCACAGTAAGCAGGAGAGTCGCCCAGGAAGGAATGGGGTCGCAACATTGCTATTAGGAAGGATTACACGTTTGCAGTTTATTACGGTAGCTGCCAAAACTAGGCAGCAAGAACTTACTGCCAAGTACCTGTCTAAGTCGCAACCAGGCCAAATTTTCCCACCAGGATCTGATCACCCTCACGCAGAAAGTCAGCCTGCCACCTCTCTCAAAACACTCCCCACAAAGCCAACACACAGACACATACAGCAGATCCATTGTTACTTAGCCAGTACAATCCAGAAGCAGTACTCGGAGAGAGACCAACGTCATCAACTTTACCAGGGGCCCTTCTGAAGGATGTAAGACATGAGACCATTACATAAAGCGCCTCCTGCTGGGAGAGGCTGGAACTGAAGTTGCAATGTGCTCTCCCACAGCCTGGACTGCTAGGCCATGCTATACACAAAATGCTGTGATGAACCAGGAGCTCCCTCACCAATGCAACCTTTATGGTATAGAGCACTGCACAAACACGGGCTTATTCCTTACAGCGAATTTATGCTGATAGGGAAATAGAAACGTTCTTCATCAGGAGAGCGTTCA